CACAGACGTGTTTAGGTGTTCTTGGCCGTGAACTGGCCAACGCGTCCGTGAACTGGTCACTTTCGGGCAAACATGAAGACAACAGGAGTGAGAGAGAAAGGGGGGATGGTTTTTGGATAAGGAACACTTTCTTTCTCTAGAGTTTCAACTTAAAACACCAAAGGGCGCGTTCGACTACGAAGGACAGAAAAATGAGAAACCCGTAGTCTTTATACGAAAGAAGAAGCGCCAATTCGAAAGCAGAGTCTACAAAAGGGCGCGAGCATTTACCAGGGTTGTGAAAGTGCTCGCCATTGATGAAGTGAGCTAAGCAGCTAAGGATCTGAGAGTGAAGAGATAGCAGAGTACTTTCAGTAACCAATGGTTACTGACCTATGAGTAACAAAAACTGGACCTTTAGATTTAAGTAGGTTTAGAAAATTCAGATCTAATAATTGTCAATTAAAGACATTTTTTTCCCCTAGTTTTCTTAATCGGCTCTTATCTTCTTCGTTCTAACTCGAATTTCAATTTTTTTTGCACAGATGGAACGAGTTCGGTGTGCTCTACAAAATGAGATCAATTTTCAATATATTTCGAGAAACTTTTTTTTACCAACTACCTACCATATGGTAACTTCTTCGTTTTTAAGTCGTTTTTTAAAACGTTTGCTCAGAAGGAACGAGTTCATCATGATCTATTGGATCTCTAAATTTTTGGGTGAAAAAATATTGGATAAAAAATTACTATACTTTACCACTATGGTATGTGGGTGGTAACTTGTGGTAAACAATGATGAAAGTCATAAATGACAGTTAGTACACTCATACTATCATGTATTCAACCTTTTTACCATATTGGTATGTTCATACCATCATGGTACGCTTTCTTACCATATGGTATTAAATAGGAGCATACCATATGGTAACGACTATAGGTGTCAAAACATAGCCCGACTCAATTAACCCGCCCGATCAACCCGACCCGCAACCCAACCGCAACCCGAATTGACTAAAAGTCAACAACCCGTAACCCGCCCGACCCGCAACCCGATTGACCCGCAACCCAACTAACCCGCAACCCGACAAACCCGCAACCCGATTAACCCGCAACCCAATTGACCCGCAACCCGATTATCCCGAACCCAATTGACCCGAACCCGACTAACCCATAACCCAACCGACTCAACCCGAATTTCATCTAATCCACTTGAATAATTATAAAAAAATATACAATACATAGTTTTTCAAAATAAATTTTTTCATTCTAAACTTAAGTAAAATTATTTTTTCATTTCGTATAAGAAATTTTAAAAATATGAAACTCACTTGATATTACGTATTTTAAGAAAATTACAAAAATTGAAACATGAAGGTCACTTGAGATCATGACAATATTAATATAATATATAAATTAAAATTTTGGTTAATTTAACTATTCAATAAAATTATCAATTAAATATAAATAAAGTAAAGTAATGTATTTGGTAATTTGATTTTTTAAAAGAAGAGGGAATTTTTGGTGTATTCAAGTTTTTGGGAAGAGAAAGAAGAGGGAAATTTGATTCTTTGAATTTTGTAAAAAAGAAACAAGTGGGAATTTTTGTGGTTTTGATATGTGGGAAGAGAAAGAAGTGGGAAAGTTTGATTCTTTAGATTATGAAAGAGAAATAAGGAGAGAAACTTTTGACTTTTCAACTTTTTGTAGAAGGAAAGAAGAGGGTAATTTGTTTCTTTCAATTTTATGGAAGAGAAATAGGAGGGAAAATTGAGTTTTTCTAATGTATAGAAGGAGAAAGGAGGAAAATTTTAGTATTTTTTTGAAAAGAAAGAAGGAAACAAATTTGGTGTTTTCAATTTTTTGGTTTTTCATAATTTTAGCTTTTGAAATATGAATCCTTAACTTTTATATGGAGGGCATGGCTGGTTAAAATTATTCTTATATGCTTTGAAGGCTAATATGTATATATGTATGTAATTTTTTATGGGCTAATAAATAGATTAACCATTAGTTACAACAATTTATACTAAACTTGATAAGTAATCTTTGACGGTTCGTTGTTTAGGATATAAAGTATATGGTTAGGGTATAAGGTATAACTGTATAAGGTACATATGGTTTAGGGTGTATATGGTTAGTGTACAAGATATTGATGGTTTTGACGGTTCTAAGTTTTTTATTAACATATGTTCACTTGAAGTCATTTGAAGTCTTTAACGGCAGGAGAACCCTTTTTAATTTATGTTTATGTTACGTGGTTAGGGTACAAGGTATGTAGTGTAAAGTATAGGATATATGGTTAGGGTATAACAATTAGCAAATATCACTTTTTATCTATGTTTTGAAAATCAAAGTATGAATTTCACTTTTAAATTAACTATACTAGCAAAATCACAACTCAAGGACATATGATTAGGGTATAGGTTATGTGGTTAGTATATAATGTATTGATGGTTTAGGGTACACAATCAACAACATATACTAACTTAATATTGTTGATTGAGGGTAAAGCTAAGTGTATAGGATATATGCTATTGAGTAAGTTATGATTGAAGTCACAATAATTTTACTAAATTTGATAGCTAATCTTTAATGGTTCAATTTTTAGGATAATTCGAACAATTTTACAAATAACTCGTTTGGCAACAGTTTACTAAGGGGTCGTTTGGATGAGTTTATTCGCAAAGTGGTATTTGTAGATCCAAATAATGCATTTTTGTATCTTGTGGTATTTCAGAGTTATTTGAGATTCAAAGGTGGTATTTTAATTTTAATTAACTTGTTTGGTTGAAAGAGTTATTTGTATGTGGTATTTCATTAGAAAAACTAAAATTACTTCATTGCCCTTCTTCCTGGTCCTTTTCCCTATCATCACTACTACCAATGCCTGAAAGCAAAGTAATAGCCTACTCCCAAAATCTACAACAATAATCCCTCAATTCTGATGATGATGATGATGAGAAATATGATCATATGCATAACCACAAATATAATTATGTATTCCCCAATTCCTATTGATTCTCGTTTGAGAAGCTCCATTCCCGTTTCCGTTTCTAGCAATCGAACCAAAGAATAAGAAGAAGAGGAGGAAGGATAAGCAGCAGGGTAAGAAGAAGCATCAATCCCAGCAACTCCAATGAACCCATCCAAATTCCCAGCACTTCTAAGCATCAATCCACCTCACCAAACCACCAATTTATCAATCCAAAACCTCAAAAATTCAGTCTTTGCAACTCGATGTAATCACTAGAACAAAATCACAGAAATCCATCCTTGTCGTCATCGTCGCCACCACAAAATCACATAAATCTGTCCTTGCCGTCATCGATGGAAAGCAAACCATGGCGCGGATCTTTTGGACGGCGGGAGCAAAACCATCGTCGCCACTGCGTCATCGTCGCCACCGCAAAGGAAAGGAAAGAGCAAAAGCAAACCAGATCTTTTGGAAGGCAAGAATCCAGATCTGGATCACCATCGCGCCATGGTGCTGTCTATCTCTTTACCCCTCCGTTCGCCGGCGACGGTGCTGCCAGCTAGCACTTCGTCTTCTCTGTTTATCACAAACTATCCTTTCGCCTATGCAAAATGATCTTCATTCTGAGAGGAATCCAAAAGTTCCAGAAGAAATAACCGCCACTCAATTGATTTTGCTATCAGGCAAAGGAATCAAAGAAGAAGAAAAGATGTAGAAGGTGAGAGGAGAGAGGCGAGGGGTAGAATTGGTTCACTTTAACGCAAAATGCGTTATTTCAGAATAACTGGGTACCCCCAGTTATTTAGAATACCACAAAAACCGGGTATTTACAAATAATCCATACCCAAATAACTCATCACTCAATTTTACACCCAAACAAGTTATTTAAGCCCAAATAACTCATTGTGAGTTATTTGGATCAAATTAACTCATTGGAATAACCCATCCAAACGACCCCTAAAGTTATTTGGGCAATGAGTTATTTTGAAATAACTCTTTTTATCACTATGCTTTTGCCAAATACCACACGTCAAATACCAGATTTGCATGGTTATACTAAATGAGATACTTTAATCCAATTACTACTGAATTAATACTAAAATATCAAATAAACAATTAACGTTGTCTTTTGGTTGCAAATATTGTTATCACCATTACTATTAGCTATAATACTTTACCAATTATGATTAATTACATAACAAGTTTGCAAATCATACAAATTGATTTAACATTTTGACTAGTTTTTTTCAAAAAAATAAAGTATATATATACGAGGTAGAAATAAATTGGTTAAAAAGTTGAGAAAATATTTTAAATTAGTGTAATAAAATGTGTAAGTTGGTAATGAGTTAAGTTACTTGATGCGCTGGCCCGAACAACCCGAAACCCGACCCGCCCGCAACCCGCCCGACCCAAAACCCGATGAACCCGCAACCCGATTTGCCCGCAACCCGACTGAATCCGAACCCGATGAACCCGCAACCCGACTAACCCGCAACCCGTTTGAACCTGAACCCGATGAACCCGAAACCCGACTAACCCGAAACCCGACTAACCCGCAACCCGATTGAACCCAGCCCGAACCCGCCCGATTGACACCTATAGTAACGACTGGCAAAAAATTATTTTTGTACTAAAAATATATCAAAGTGGATATCATTTTAAAAAGCACATTTAATCTGATTTATCTATGAAAAAAAATTAAATTTCGACTTAAAACGAGAGAGAGAAATCGTCCATAAAAGATTAAAGGAAAAAAATAAAAAACTTTATAGGAGAAAGAATACTGATGTTATATTGATGTCGACAAGTTACTCATGGTTACTAAGTTACTGAGCTGATGTTGGAAATGGGGGAAATTGTAGCAGTACGAGTGAGATACGGCGAACGGCGGAAGTAGAAAATGGATAGTTGGAACTTGAAGAGAAATATCAGTTTTGTCCTCGGGCATCGAAGAACAGAATATCCGAGGCGACACGTCTCACATTCTTTGACGGCGATAAACCAGATAACAGTTTTTTAACTCAGCAGCGGCAGTAAATTAGTAATGCTCTTTACTGAAATACCAATGAATTTGACAGCATCCACAGAACTATTTTTACCTTCGAGAAAATGCTATTGGGCCATTTGGGCGCATATTGAACCTAAAGGTGCGAGCTTTGAAGCCATTATTAAACACATTCTTTTGTTCAACAATGACTATCTGGCTGTTGAAGCCATTATTGTTTTCAGCTGCAGCTCTTCTCCCTCCATGCCATTCTTACACTTTACTGTTTCCAACTACTCTACGCTATTCCCACCGTCGATCAATTGGAGTTTCTCGAGCAAAAATGGACTCCAGCGATGGAAGCACGGCGCCTGCTTCCAAAATCATCGATTCGCATCTCCACGTTTGGGCATCTCCTGAAGAGGTATTCAAGATTCAAGCTTTCGCAATTGGAAGTTTATAGCTTGGCTAATGGCTGGTTGATCCCAAATTACTATTAGCTCTGTTGCTCACCCAGTATTTTGTTTGGGTTTGTGAAAGGCTGCAGATAAGTATCCTTATTTTCCTGGCCAAGAACCCACTTTGCCTGGACATGTGGATTTCCTGCTCCAGGTGGGAAAACTCTCCTTTGAGCTAGCTCACAATTCAGTGAAAGTTCTTTTTGGGGGGAATTCAGTGGAATGAATGCCTTTGTGTTTATGTTGTGTTGTCTTTTGTGTTCAATCCAAAGTGCATGGAAGAAGCAGGAGTGGATGGTGCCCTGATTGTGCAGCCTATTAATCACAAATTTGATCATTCTCTAGTCACAAGGTCGGTCAGTCTTCCCAGTTTTATGAAACCTATTCTTTCACATTCGACTATAGGCATTTTAGATTAGAATGAGCTCATATAACATAATACAACTATCGCCATGAATTAAGATATGCCAAATCGGCAGAATTGGATTGGTTGTTTCAGTTTAGAAGATTAAAGGCTTCTGGCTTTAATGGCTGTGTTATCACATGGTAGTGTTGTGAAGAAGTATCCAACCAAGTTTGTTGGCTGCTGCATTGCAAATCCTGCTGAAGATGGAGTTGGGATTAACCAGCTCGAGCTGCTTGTTGTCGAGGTAATGTTGTGTTCGTGACATGATACATTGCATGAAAGAAATACGATCCTTTGTTCTTATCATTTTCGCCTTCGCCTCTTGTGCCAGGATGGTTATCGTGCTGTTCGCTTTAATCCATATCTGTGGCCTTCTGGCCAGAAGGTAAATGTCTACCTTCCATGTCTTGTTGCTTGGTAGTGAAGATCGGCTGTCGCTCTTCATAAATTGATAGGTTCACAAGAGAAAACCTTTCTTGGTTCCTTATGTGGAACATCTTGTGCAGATGACAAATGATGTTGGGAAGGCATTGTTTCGTAGAGCTGGTGAGCTTGGAGTACCTGTTGGATTCATGTGTTTCAAGGTAAATGCATCTGTTTTGCGCTAGTACTTTGCATCTGTTTCGATGGCTCCATCCAGAACAGAATTGAACTGTATAGCCTTTTAGTTTAACGTTAAGACTCTGGAGTCTTCTTCTTGCAGGGTCTTAATCTCCATATCGCAGAAATTGAAGAGCTCTGCACAGAGTTCCCCTCCACCCCAGTTCTGATGGACCATTTGGGTTTCTGCAAACCCCCAACGTAAGTAAAAAGCAAACCTCCAGAAACTCAGCTTCTTAAAAAGAAAGCACACAAATTGTCACCAATTTTATCATCTTTTGCCTTTGCAGAAACGACGAGGAAAGAGCTGCCCTCTCAAACCTGTTGCAGCTATCCAGGTTCCCTCAGGTAAAAGAACACATTGCTTCCATTCAAAGTTACTGCAAACAATCCTTTTTTTCACACATTAACAGGTAAAACTGTGTTTGTTCTGGGTAACGGTTTGAAGGTATATGTGAAAGTCAGCGCCTTATTCAGGGTGTCTAGAACTCAGAGCCCATACGAGGATTTATCAACCCTTGTGTCTCAAGTAGTGTCCAGTTTTGGCGCCAAACGTGTCATGTGGGGAAGGTAGAAGTGAAACCTTGTGTATTTCTACCTCAAATTCAAATATGTTTCTTTGTTTCTCATTTGTTGTTCCTTTTACCTTTTTTGGGGCAGCGATTTCCCATATGTAGTTCCTGAATGTGGGTATAAAGGAGCTAAAGATGCAGTGTCCTGCTTAGCTAGTCAAGTGCCGCTGTCTGATACAGAGAAAGAATGGGTTATGGGCAGGACAGTAATGCAGCTTTTCCAGGGTCAATGGATTCCTTAGATCTTGAGGGATGTCTCGGCCATGCTCCACATGTTCATCCCGATTTGCTCTGTTCCTTATGAGTACATTATTTGGACAATTAATGGTAGGAATTCGTTTGTATTCTAGATTTGCATGGTGCAGTTCAACTCAAGAATCAATTTAACCAATCCCAATGAATCTGTTTGCCCGGCTCGGTCCTCTCGTTTCATGGTATGCAAAGGGATGGCCTGGGCCATTTCAATGAATCGTGGTGGTTCTTTTCTGAAACTGGGATGTGACTGAATTTTTTTAAGTATAATAAAGTAAAAACGAGCATGATATAGTTATTTACACAATAGTTTCAAATAAACTTACCTATGAACTCATCAATGTTTGTATTCAGTGAGACAATATTATCAATCTTCATCATTGCTAATTCATTAAGATTTATTGTGTCATTTCATATTACAAATAAGGGGGGTTTTTTTGGTAGAACAAATAAGGGTTTTAGAACACAAATAAAACTTTAACGATGATTATACATGAGAATATTAACCAATGACTACTAATAATAATAATAAACATATTTAAACACTTTATCATAATCAATCAATCAATCATGCACAACAAATTCATCATACAATATAGAATCGGATCAAATAACAAACCTACGGCGGAGGGCCCCTAATATCTGTAGCCTTGTGTCTGAGGGCCTCCTGACACCCGAATGACCAGCCTTAGGGATTAGGGATGACAATAAAATCCGAATCTGCGGGTACCCTACTCGACCCAACCCGGTCAACGCAGGTAAAATCAACTTTGACGGATTGCGGGTTGGGTTTGGGTTTAAACCCGCTATAGTTTTTGCGAGTTGGGTTGGGTTGGGTTTGGGTTTAGCCATATCCAACCCGTGGATACCCGCACCCAAGTCCATACTCCCAGGCCCCCACGACCCATGGAACCCTTACCTAATTAGCTATATTTATAAACTAATTCCTCACACGTTCAATAAATCATATTATTTGTAGATGTTTATCTTTAATATTGAACGATTAGTATGAATGATTTGTGAGTTAGTGTGTATGTAGTAGATAATAATAGTAGTAAAAACTAGTATAATTACATCTTTGTACATGAACCTATGGGTACCCATGAACCCGCGGATACCCAGCGGGTTGAGTTGGGTTTGAATTTTCCAAATTTAATGGGCTTTACCCCGAATTTTTTTGGTGGATAAACCCATAGGTTGCGTTTGGGTTTGACATAACTCGCCCCAACCCGACCCAATGAATGGCAATAGAACGGACTTGAGGCAGATTTCCATAAACCATCCTCATCCCCATTTCTAAATAGTCGAAGAACTATATATACATTATCACAGGATATCCAAATTCGACCTTGTTCCAAATAAGCATTATTCGTATAATTCTTCTTAAAGACAATACTAAGACAATTTTTTTTCTACAATCATAGCAAGACCAGTTGCACGCTTACACTAGGAATGGCAATGGGCAGGTCCGAGGCGGGTTTCTTGGTACCCAGACCCGCCCCTGGCAGTTCGGGTCCAAATCGGGTAATTTATGATGGGTCGCAGGTCGGGGCAGGTCGACCCAATGGGTATGCAATTTATATGAAAAATATTAGAAATATTCGTTAATTTTATTATAAGACCAAGAAAACAAACAAATTTTTGATAAATGTAGTTAAATTATTAGAGAAATTGAGGTTTTCACTAATTTACAACATTATTATAGCTAAATTATGATGTAATAAAAGAAAATCTTAAGTAAATTGACTAAGATTACATGTAATTTAGGCAAAGAACGGGTCGAGAATGGGGCGGGTCAGGACAGGTCGGGTCGATGATAGTACCCATGCCCGTCTCGCCCCGCTTACGAAGCGGGTCAGACCCTCCCAAAACAGGCCAAACAGGTCGGATAAACAGGTCAGGTCGAAATTGTCATCCCTCTTTTACGTTGTATAGTTTGTAATATACGTGAGCTTAGAATGACCGTTGAAGCTCCTTAACATCCATAATAAAACTGGTTTATATTTTCAGTTACCTGTAATTTTAAAGAAATAATTATAGGATAGCAACAAAAATTTAGTTATCTATATTTTTTTTATGAATGTAATATTAACTATAAATGCTATGATCAGGGGAGAGAAGAATAAACATTTATTTTTTGTGAAAATCGAATTGCCTTGTGTGGTATTATCAGCTTGATTTCTTGTACGACTGGTCACGAGACCTCATTCGTAAAACCAAGTATGAACCTCAATAACTCCATGATAATAGTTCAACTTCGTATATCTTCAAAATGCTATTTGAGAAACGCTTTACAGATTTAGCTCTCTATGTCCCACTGGAACTCTATACATTTCTGTGAGAAAACTATGGGGAATGGGGATCATGTACAGGGAAAAAAAGAATTACATCCGACTAAAAGAAACTCAGACTAATCATCTAGGCGATGGATTTCACCCATCATGATACGGTTGCTTGTGACTTTAAAACCAAGCAGTGCCGGATCTATTTGCCGCCCTTTCTTCCCTTTCTTCTTCCCACCACCTTTCCCTCCTTGCCCTCCCTCCATCATCCCTTCCGAGGGGACAACAGCTCCCCCTCCGCCGCCGATCCCCTGCTGCTGCTGCATTGCTGCCACTTCCGGACCTTTCTTTGCATTACTCTTCAGCATGTCTATGAATGACGGCTCGGACACCTCACCACCATCCCCATATGATGATGTTCGTCGGAACATCATGTTGTCTTTCTTGACAATGTTCTCCGAACCATGGTTCGTCGAGTTGAGTCCTGTGTAACAAGAACGGAGCTCAGTAGGGCATACGAGGGCCGCTCAGCTCAAAAGAGAAGGTTGCTTAAGATCCAGGCAGATCACAGCAACTTTTAAACATAAAATCCATATTTTCCTCTTCAATTACTAATGAGTACGCATACTCTAAACTGGCGTCCATTGTTCGAGGACGGAAAAAGCAAAGAAGAATACAAGAGTTAGAAAGACTGGAGAGTACCATCAATGGGGGGTAATCCGCCTTTACCACGGAGAGATGATTCAGAGACCAGTTCGGATATCCCCTCATGGGATGAGGATGAACGTGAGGAAGGTGGACGTCTCAGCATGAAATTTTCTTGCCCCTTTTGTCCTGCGGTTAACCTGACCAAAAACAGAACATAAAAACATAACCACCATATAAGCTTAATTGCGTACCAATACATCACTGAACGAGCAACTCATGAGGAAGCCTCTAACAACACTATTCCAGGGCACACACAACTGCAGAATATCAAAGAGTCGTATAACAATGGGGTATTTCTGGCCGCTGGACTATGCTATTTTGACAAATAGGTGTCTGTTGTCTGATTTTTAACAAACATGTCTTGCAATATACCGTTTACATGCTTATTAGTTCGTCAGATAAAAAGTTCCACCCAGACTAGTTACAATTAGGATTCACCAATATTTAGTACACATTTCCATCGACTCACTGGTCAACCATGTTGCATATTCACTTTCTGCCCCTCAATTTGACTCTTAAATCTCACGTCTCCTACTCTTTATCCGGGACTTAAATAGAGTCAAGATCAATTAACAGGATCGGTTTGAGGGGGTGAGGAACTTAAAGCATGCATAACATGTGACTAAAATGCCATTAACCCTAGAGGAATCAGATAGAATTACAAGTCGAAAAACTTACTGATTCATGTGAATTTCATCAGAAAAGCATCCTTTTTGCCCAACCTTGTCGTCATAAAACCCTGCAATCATCATCATCTTAAATACTAAACTCCCAATTCCTCATGACCATCAATGTAAAGAGCAAATGAAGCATACATCAATACTAATTACCAATTGAAGAGTTTCTGCTAAGAGAAGTAATCGGTGTCTCTATACGGTCTCCAGCACCACCACCGAATCTTGCCTGTTCAGCCATGCTGCCATCTTGAACATCCAAGATCGAAGAACCTCTCATCATACTTCGATCTGAAAACCCCACCTGGGGAGGAGCCTCATTCATCAAGAACCTCCTTCCCCCAGTATTTACGAACTGGTCATCGCCTGTAATAAAGTCAGCCATATCACGAGGATTAGAAGGACCATAGGACCCGATTGGGAACGAGCTGTTCAAGGTAGCTTCATGGCTGGGGCCCCCCATATTATAAGGAAGGTCAGAAGTTCTGTCAAAAGATCTTGTGCCATTCATGTGTACAGCATCTTGATGGCTAGATTTCTGATGAAGCAATTCCATCAGCAGTTGTCTCGACTTGTCCTCATTCATTCCGTTATCCGACATCCATAATCTCGAACGATCCTGAGCAGCTGCGGCCATTTTAGCTTCGGCCGCCTCGCGTTTCTTATTGATCTGCAACTGCTGGATTTGAGATTCCATCCAGTCGTCAGCAACTCCTGGGTGGTGGTGCGGATTCTGAGGATGACCACCCATCGCATTCATCATTACCGCATCCATATTCATCCCTGAAGCACCGCCATGAGGCATCGACATAGACCGCTCAAAAGGCCCACCACCAGCTGTATCAAAAAGACCTTGTCGAAGTCGATCCTGAAAGGAGAGCGTTCGATCAAGGTGATTGTTCAGCTGCTGCTCCTCCTGTCGTTGCATCTGCTGCTGTCTCTGATAAATATCGAATGGGCTTAACCCTGAAGAATGATTAGTCCTTTGATTTGCAGCAAGACTCCTACGGAACTGGTCATTTTCATTGATTGGCCACATGGACTCGAGGAGCTGTTGCTCTTCTGCCAGCTGTCTTGCCTTAATCTGTTCCTGACGGAGTAGAAACTGCTGCTCTAAGTTCTGGATTTGCCCATGCTGTGCACGTGATAACAGTTCATACAAATCCCTCTGCTGCTCTTGTTGCATGGATGGGTGAAAATGTCTCGAGGAGGGATGTTGGGCCCCCCTCTGTTGCTGCATTTCAAGCAGAAGTTGCTGCTCCAGGATAACTTGTTCCAGAATATTGTTGGCTCTCACAGGATCAGGCACCTGACCATGCAACAGCT